CATTGACTTATGAGTTTCGACTGATTTTGAGTTATAAAATATCTATAGAACACGTAGATAAACCAACTACTCCATTTTACAAGCTTAGACAAATAAAAATGAATCAAATTCTTTTCTTTAAAAGAAGTCAAAAAGGAGGGGAAAATATCTAACTCAAAAAGGAGGGAAAAAATAATATCTATGTTGTAAAATGAATGATATTTATGGAGCCATTCAACAAACAACAGCTGATATTATTCTTAAGATAGAAAAATATCCTTTTCCTTCCTTTCACATCTTGCTTGACATCGACTCATTGAATCAATAATCATACAATTCTTACTTTTTTTCTTTCTTTTATCTTAATACTTAAAGCAATTTATTCGAATAATATCATCACATTATCTAGAAATTTAATGGAAATAATTAAAATTATTATCGATGAAATAAGTTATTGACTTAATTGTCTCTCCATCTCCATGAAATAAGAATAAGGTATGCGTACATTTATTTTTATTGCTGATTTAATTTTAAATTTATTCACATCAACCTACACTTTAAAGAGTTGCTAAATTAATACCAAAGCTACCTATGTTAAATACTATATAGCATACATACATATCAGACTATATATTATGTTTTTTTAAAATTAAAATATTTGAGGTAGGGTGGGCCAAAGAGAGAAAATAAAGAAGAAACAAATCTTGGTGAGATTTGAATTTATATGTACCACTGCAAAGTGAAGTTACAATAATTATTAGATTAACAATTTAGTCTGTGTAATTGTCTTTTATAAGTAGCTTTAATTAATTAATTATTAAACATATCTATACTTTTCTTGATTTAAGCATAGAATGTGGATCGCAATTTTGCCAAGCAATCAAAGACTTTTTAATATGTGTAATTCTTGATAGATAAAGTTACATAACTAATAATTTTGATTCAAACGACATGTGTGTATATTTCTATTTTCTCCAGACTTCATATATATAACTATTCTAAGTATATTATTACAATATATTAAAAAGTTTACTAATATAAATAAATACAAACAAATGATAGTAATGTATTTTGAAAGCAACAAATCATATAATTTATAATTTTAATTTCATATTCAAATCTCAGGTCCACCGCTAGCTATAAGATAAGGAAAAGGACTATTTAAGCAGTTAGTTCTATACACTATAGGGTAAATAAATGTTGTTTTTTGGTAGCAAAAAACAAAACAAATCACATGGTCAAAAGATAGAAATTGTAATAAGATAATTGAACATATTAAATTTCAATCTTTTAAAATTAATAATAATAAAATAATAATTTCACTCTAATAAAAATATCAACACCGAGATGTTTTGTTGGTATAGGCAATTTTGGAATTGAATGAAAACAAAAGATATTTTGTGGTGGACCGGATATTTTTGTAGCAGTAGTAAATGGGGTTTGAGAAAATATCTGTGTAAACTTAGAGTTGACGTGTTCACTTGACACATGGAAAAAGCGGTGACAGCTGAGCCTCTATTTCTACCAAAAGTTCCTCCCTTTTCTTCCTCTCAATTTCATTCGCTTCTCACAATATAAATTCCCAATTTTTTCATATAATAAATTATACTCTAACCTATAGTTTTTTTTGTTCAAGATAAAATAATGGAAACTCTATCGGATTCGAAAGGAAAAACTTCTACTAAGAATTTGGGTCATAAGATTGAAGAATTTTTGACTATGGAGGTATATATATATAGTCTGTTTAATCATATATCTGTATGAAAGTTTTTTTTTTTTTTTAGGTTTTCTGTGTTTTATGAACTGTATATATATATATATTGTGAACAATTCTGGTAAGTTGATGGTTTATGTAGTTTTTAGTTGGATCAAAAAAAATTTCTAGCATTTTTTGGGGGTAAATCTGTGTTTTGATTTATTTTTTTCTTAGTTAAACATAAAGATGAGTTAGCTAAGTGAATTTTAAGATGTTTGTACTAGGACTTAGATTATGCATGTTCAACAATTATAATTTATTTATAGGCTAAACATGGTAAGTAGTAATTACACAGTTACACCTAACTAAACAGTTATCCTTAAGAATCAACAATTCAAAATGAAAGTGCATATACATCCAGGGTGTGGCCTAGTGGTCGATGAAGTTGGCTGAGCATCATGAGGCCTCAGGTTCAAATCTTAGTAGTAACAGAGTTACCTGGTACCCGATGGTGGCAGGTATCCCACTGAAGGTGCAAATCACTTAACCAGGGTTAATTGTTAAAAAGTGTGTACACAAGAAAATTGTCTTACATTCATGTAAGAAATTTTTACATATGCTAAACACGAGTATATTGAATTGAGGAATGAGGATAAGTACCAAAGAATTTGGCCTTGCCTCTCTCCACCTTCCGTAAAAAATCCACCAAATTCAAAGTTAGGCCTAAGAAACGATGCAGGGTAAGGTTGCGTAAAATAGACCCTTGTGGTCCAGTCCTTTCCTATACAAGCGCATAGTGGTAGCTTAGTGCACCGAGATTTCCTCCTTTTTGTTTAACCTATAACTGCATTTCTTGTGTGGTTGCCTTGTTTTTTTGTTTTCTTGTTGATGATGATATTATTATGTTCTTATTGTGCATTGTGACTGAGAGTGTGAATTTGTGGAAATAATGTAAAGCATATGCTTCTCCAACCCCCCCTAATTATCATGTTTTATGTGTCTTTTTTGTGGTAATTGCATGGTTACTTTTATGTGATCATTCAAAATAAGGTGATGATGTTATGAAATGAGATTTCATGTAATGATCTGAATTTGTTTGGTACTGAGGCGTAGTTGTTGTATTCAAAATAAGGATATCCAGTGCCCCATCCCTCGTTCTCCAGGTTCTAAGGAAACAACTTTAGTGTATTGATAGTAGAAGGCAATGTTTCTAAATTAACAGGCAAAGTAGGGTTGGAAAATGTGGTTCATTTAGAATTCAGTTTCTCATTAAGAAAATCCCATCTCAGGATTCTCGACCGAAGAGCATGGAATGGACTGACAAGAAGCATAGTTTGTATCTCAAGTCTATGGAAGCATCATTTGTCGACCACTTATATGGCTCCTTAGATGTAGTTGGTCGCCATTCCCAAAATGATGGCTTGTCAAGGCATAAATCATCAAGGCAAAGGCATGCCAATCCTTCAGGCCAGGTTTGATTCGATTCGACTGAACATTACCCTGTTATATAATTGGTTTTTTCGTCCTCACTCAGAATCTGATTTTGTCCCTTCCATTTGTACCTCTTTTCGTATCACAGTATAAGGTGTTTCAAGATGGTTGTTGGACCAAAATTGACTTCAAGAAAGACGAGCCTCAGTTAAATAAAACAAATGAATCCGCTGCTGTATTGGCAAGCCCTTGGATTAAGCATTACAAATCTACAGGCAGACATCAAATGAGAGTAAATTCAGATCTACAGGGGAACACTAACTCAGTGAAACAGAACCAATCTCCCGTATCTGACTTCGGTTTGTGCCATAAAGATTATGTTACAGGTAACTGAGTTTTTCAATCAGCACGTGTTATTAATTCTCCGATCTCTATATCAAGTCATTAACAATATTCTTGTAACATTTCAGAGGTGATGGATCAAAACTTTATCGATGAAGATCTTGAAGGAGGACAGTCTAGCAGCAGGGAGCATTGCACAAAACGGACAAAAATTCAGTTAGGTGCCGGTACAAGCAGTGATCAAGTAATGAGTTGGACCAGCTAATTTGCAGCTCTAAATTACTCCGTTGGCACACATTAAGATTGACGACTAACCATACTTTAAATGTATCATCCAGGTAGTTCCATTTTGCACATCCTCAATGACTGATAATCTTAAGGATCTTCTCGAGTCGACGGAGTAAGTCTTTGGCTCTCAGCGATGACTATGATGACACTAACCTCTTTAACCAAGAACGACGAATGGAATGTAAAAACAGCAGGTGGGAACACGTCGCGTTTCAAACTATTGCTATAGGTTGATCAAGATTTTGCTACAGTTTTGCCCGGAACTAGTCATGGTTTTAATCTCTTTATTTATCTGTATGTTGGAAATTCGAGTAGCCATCGAACCTCTAATCCTTGTACAGATTTTGGGAAAATGTTGTCAAAAAATGCTTGCTGTATCTTACATGCCTTGTACCATCGTTATTTGAGTGAACTCTTAAATAAGTTGTAACTAAAAATTGTCAATTTTTTCGAGTGTTAGCCATCAAAAATTCGGTTGGAAATATACTATCATATCATGAATTGACGTTATTATATTGCAATAGACTTTTGAAAGTTATGAGCTAAAAACATAGTGTCAATATTATCGATGGTTTGCCAATGGAAATTTTTGTAAACATTACCACAAAATACAGTTAAAACTGTAAACAATGGCATGAAGTTCAATTTATATTACCTAAAATTTACAGGTGCAATTCAAACTTCATTAAGTTTAATTTTCAAGCTAACGAATAAATACGTTGTATAAAGCTTCAAAATCTACTACTATAATTGATATACCAATTCAAATTATTCTTATGCCTCGATGTATTACTATTACGACATATAAATAAATAAAATGTATATAAATGTTTAAGTATAAGGTTTTAAGTGACAAATATTAAGGGAAACTCAGGTAAATGTATGCTTCGGCTCTTTAGTTTATCAATATACACGACGTATATGTTATTGATATTGTATACAATGTATAGATATGTATAGGTATGTACAATATATGTATAACTAGTAGAAAATATATATGACTACCTATCTAGTATCCACTATATACATGTTTTATAAACTAGATGTCCGAATGATATTTGGCTATAAGTCTTCTTTTTATAAATCAAGTGGATAATAGATACATATTTTGAAACCCGAGCGAACCCTTATGTGGACGGAGTTAATTGGCCTTTTTGCAATTTACATTTATGTAGGCAAATCTAATGCAACGATCTTGACTGAAAAAACTTTGGCTAGAGAAATCAATTCCTATCTTCCCTCCTAAAATTTCACATGTTGCAATAACTCAATCTCCGACTCTCGGACACCAAAAATAGAGCGGGTAATGAAAAATCTCCAAAAATCACAGGTGGAGGGGAAGACTTTCATTGCGTCACGGACAAGTATAAATAAACAAATAAAAAACTACTGCCTTCTTCATCTCTCCGCTTAAATTTCGCTATTCCATTATTTCCAGGTACGTATTCATCTTCAATTAGGGTTCCGTTATCAATTCGAATTTCAATTTCCTTTTTTCCCCCAATTTTTGTTTTTGCTCTGTTCAATTATAATTTATTTTTCACAGATTAGGTAAAAAATTCATTCATCATCATCATCAGCGATTTCAGTACTTTTTTCCCCTACTGGGTCTGCATTCAATTGTAGTTTCACGAAAGAAGGAAGGAAAAAAGAGAAATTTTTGAATTGTTTGTAAATTTTTTTCTGCAATGCCGTCGTTTGTTTCAACATCAAAGGCGATTAGGCGTTTAGTTACGCATCGGAATGTGTTGAAACAGAGGTTGGGGATTGATAATTATGGTTGGGGATTAGGAAATCATGATCAAGTTCGATGCTTGAGTGGCATTGTTGGTGTTCCTTCAGTTTCTCCTGGTTGTGATGCTGGTAGCAAGCTGATTAAGCCCTCGCCGTCTGGAGAAGTTTATAGAATTGGGCCTGTAATTCAAAGCAGAGGATTTTTGGGCTGTGGTGATGGGGAAGAGGGGAGTATGTTAACCAAAATACATGAGGAGAAGCGTGTCTTGGGGTAAGTCCTTAATTACCATTTGCTGCTTTTATGATACCGAAAATATTTTCATGTACTTTTGTTTCTTATCATGAGCAAAATCCAGGTTACTTGCGTGATCTTTACATTGTAAAATTGTGGTGAACATTGTGAAAGTGACGAATATGTTATTCGTGTCAGACACCAAATCAAGAAGTTACTTTAGGGTGTTTGAGTTTTTTTTAGAAGGTAACATATTCCTGTCATCCTGTGTGTATATAGACATCAGCACATAAATTGCACTAGTAACCAAAATGGAGTGACTACATGAGATTCCCAAAAAAGAAATAGGCAAATAAACTACACAACTAACTTGCTCATCTTACAAGGAACCTTATATATCTATGATTGCCTCAGAATCATCTACTGTTGCAGTTTTCACCTTTCTACTTTACAGCTTCATCCACTCTCTCTTTTCAAACAATTACTATATTCAGATTTATACAAAAAACTAAAGAGAAGAATACAATTCATCTTAAGCTTTTGTAAATTGCTACTTGTATCTTAAAAATACTTTGAGTTTCTCTCCTTCCATATTCTCCACCAAATAATTGCAGGGACAATTTTCCATTCGTCTTTGCTACTGTTGCAGTTTTCACCTTTCTAGCATGCTATAACTTCAGGAGTTCTTCCTGACATTGTCAAACTAGAACCTCTGAGATTGATGAACAAATCCAATAAATGTCTTGTAATTCTGCAATGTAAAAGCATATGGCTTATTGTCTCTGCTTCTTTCCCACTCATCGTCTCATCCAGTGTAAGAATTGATTGAGGAGGCACTTCATAGAAGAAATAACATGTTTTTACTCTTCAAACTTTTTAAGGGCTAAAATAGTAAAACTGTTGGTGATCACTCTTTGGCCTTTGCTGGGAAATTTTGCTTGAGCTATAAGACAAAGGATATACCTTCTGTACTTCCACTTCTACTTACTAAGTTAAGCACAAGAAAACCTATGCAATTTAGCAGTAAAATTTTCAGTCCAAGTTGATAACTGATTCTGCATGCTCAATCTCTTTTTGTTTGAACTTTGCAAACAAACTGAGTTTAATTTTCATTTACTTGGGATACATGCTGAATACTCCTGTAAGGTAATACAACCCCCAACTGCTATGAGGAATATTGTTCACCTTACCGACTAACTTGTATTGTTTTTATTAGATACTCTCCAGAGCAGTTATATGCTGTGGTTGCTGCTGTTGACTTGTATGAAGATTTCCTCCCCTGGTGTCAAAGATCAGAGATCATAAAACGCCATCCAGATGGATCTTTTGATGCTGAGCTAGAAATTGGCTTCAAATTTCTCGTTGAGAGTTATGTGTCTCATGTGGAACTAGACAAACCAAAATATATTAAGGTAGCATTGGTCATATATCTATATAGCATTTATCAACTTTTACCTATAAAAAATATAGTATTTATTAATTTTTTAAATTTCTTTCAATTAAGCGTATCAAAATTTTTGTTCAATTTAGTTTATGTTTTTGTAAAATGTTTCAGTTACTGTTTTTCTTACAATAGTTACTCTATATGAGTGTTGTGAATTGATATGTCCTGAATCTTAGTAAGATCAATGGTATCTCATTTTTTGAGCCCTTTGCAAAATCGTGCAATTACTAAAGTGTAGTGTACCATTTGAGAATTAGTTAGTTGTCAGATATGCCTTCTAATTGAAGCTGAGTGTCTATTGAAAAGCACACATAAAATGATGGCATTGGATGTTTCTTGAGAAGTTGGACCAGGATTGGAAAGAGTCTAAAAGCTAACTATTTTACAGCTTCATCCACTCTCTCTTTTCAAACAATTACAGCTTCTTCTGATTCTTTTTCTGGGATAAGCACTATGTAACAACCATAATTTCCATAAAAAGGTATATTTCTCATTCATATTTTAGATGAGAAAGGAAGTTGTCTCAAACAACTTACGATATTTTTTATTTAATGCAGATCTAGTGAAAAAAAACAAGCATAAATAGCAGAATATCCATGTAGGGGACTCCAACTAGTTAGGTCAAGGTTTAGGCGTTCTTTGTAAGCTTACATTAGGCCCGTATCTAACAGGGTTTTTTATTTTGGTTGTAGATGTATATTAGTAAAGGTTACCCAGTGGAGGGATATCTACGAGGTTTAGAGAACCTTAATCTGCCTTAAAAGACACGTCCAATCGTAGGAATAGACAAGTCTCACTCTTTCCCTTAATAGGAATCCAAAAGTGGAGATCAACCTACCTATCGAATGATTCTCCCTTTGGTTGAGTTATCCCACGACTCTCCCTATTGATGATAGGAATTTTAAGTAATGTGGTTGAAGGTCACGATGATTTTTGACTTGGTCCATACTTTTTTTTTTTGGTTCATGGATGAAAAGTTACTATCCTCTATTGTTTATATCTTAAATAAGTCAATTTAAACATACTTGATGTGTCTATTAGATTCCAAAGCTTTACGATATATGTATTATTAATGAGAGGCCCTTCTTCTCATCAGATGATTTTGGGTGCTTTTACCTCTATGACCATTCTGAAATATCTGAATTTAACCTTCTCTCATGCACATAATTTTTTCATTGTTGCAGACAACTGCTACTGATACTGGCCTTTTTGATCATTTGATTAACATCTGGGAGTTCAACCCAGGACCAATTCCAGGATCTTGTAACCTTAACTTTTTGGTAGATTTTAAGTTCCAATCTCCGTTGTATCGACAGGTAATTTTTCCATTTTTAATATAGTAAGTTTTTAATGTCTTAGCCATAATACCATGTGAGTAAGAATATCTTGAAGATACTAATTACACTGATGCAAACTTTTGGGGTTTGCTAGACGGAGGTACTCTAGGTCATTAGCTTATTCTATCGAGGTAGATCTGCCTTCCCTGCACTTCAGATTTGTTCTTCAGTTAATTGTTTACATATGCTTGATGTATTGTGGAATCAAACCATAAGAGTCTGGTTGAAAAATAACATTTGCTTGTTGTACTATTTTGAATACCATTGAAGAAATCACATTTCAGTTTTCATACTCTTTTGTTTCTATGTGAAAATCATCCACTAAAAGCTTCTATCTTTTAACCTCCTATAATTATATTTCACAGCTTGTGACTCATCTATTGGTACTACAGTAGCAGAATTGCAGCCTGGCATACGAAGCATTCTGCATTCACACAGGGTTGGGGAAGGGCCGCACCCTAAGGGGGTGTAATGTAGGCAACCTACCCTGATGCAAGCATCTTTATCTGATTCCACAACTTGAAACTGTGACTTATAGCTGTTCTAGTTCTGTTCTCCCTCGGTTGCAAGTCCATTTCAAATTCAAAAGCCCTAAGCCCACACTTTACCTTCCTGTCCAGAACTAGAACAACTTCCTCAGCCTCACACCGAACAACACTCGGCTTGATCCTTCTTTCTTTTCTCCTTCCACTCTTGCCTTGCCGCTATTGTTGGTGGGTGAATAGCTATTAGTGCCTTTCTAAGTAGATTTACTGCTTTACCGCTTGACTTGCCTATCTCTGTTAACCCTTTGCATGAGTCTCCATGCTATTGAATCAGAAGCAAAGAGTAGAAATGAAAGTAGCTTTTAGAAAGGTAACTGTTTGCGTATCCAGTGTGGCACTTGACTTTCAGGAAGATAAGTTGGATATTGCTAAATGGAGTAAACTGCAAGAAATTGAAATCTCAATTGAATTGACAGATGCCTTCTTTAAGAAAGTAAGGCACTAGGTGTAGGAGAAAGGACAACATGCCCCTAATCAAACTGAAGGCGAAACTGTTATATTCAGGCACGGAATCCACCGTGAGTTAAACCATAGGGCCGATGCACATCTCATCACTCATCAGGAATATGATATCAGGAATAGTGGTATATTCAGGAAAGAGTTCTTGTTCACTATTATAACAAGGGTGCTTTCTTGCCTAAGGAGTCGTAGCAGTTATAATAGTAGAACCCCAACATCGCGTCTTTTATCCTAAAGAGGTGATCTATCTGGCTTTAATTTCCTCATGTTTTCGGGTGGCTAAGCCATTTTCAGTTTTCTTGATGGTACGAAGCAGATGCATCCCTCCTTTTTCTCTCCAGCCGTTTGTCCCATTCTTTCTTCTGAGAGTGAATTTTAAGATAATCTTGCTCTTGTTATAGTAAATTGGATGATATTCTAAACTAATTATCAGATCTTTTAATTTTTGTTTCAAATATTCATGATAAATGAAGCCAGTTCTCTCCTCCAACATGGTAACCTGAGCTACCTAGATAGTTATTGTGCTTTATAAATACTCCTTCATTTTAATTTCTTTTTCCTATTGGTTATCAAAAATAAAAGTTCAACTGTTTAGGCTGGATATGGGATTTGGTTAACTAGAGGCACCTCAACAAAGAGAAATGAGAGTGTTGAATTTACTATGAAGTTGATTTTTCTCTGCTGTAATTTCTGTTAAAAAAAATTGTCAGGAAGTTTCAGAAACCTTATTTTTATCTTTTCCTTTTCCTTTTTCAGTTGATTGGTTAAGTTGCATCATCTTAACTTACTTATTAAAAGCCATTGGTGAATTACCTCCTTCGCAGGTAGCAAACATGTTCTTTAAGGAGGTGGTCTCTAAACTAGTTGGTTCTTTCCATGATCGTTGCCGTTTGATATATGGACCAGGGGTTCCTATTCGTGAAGATACATATCCACAGAGTTAATGAAGATTGGTGTTTGGTTGTGATGAAATGAAGCATGGACCAGTTCAATTTTCCGAGTACCAGTTGGTCCAACTGCATTCTAATTCTTGAGTTAATTCAAAAATTGAGAAGGAGCTGATTCAGCCTCCCTGGTATTCCCAATTTCTTAAACTTACTGGGTTGTTTCTTTTTGTTTATGGCGGGCGGGATGAGGTTTGGGGTTTGGTGGTGGTGGTGGATGGATACCTTTGTAACATTTAAGGTTACCATTTTTTGTTTGATGTCCACATCATGTAGGGTTGACCAATATATTTGAATCAGTTTATAAGATATTTTGATTAATACTTAGAAGCTTCTGTACAATGATACTTGTTCATTGAATTTACATTATAGGTATAGGAATGACATTAATCGATGTAATTTGCAGTTATGCACTCTACTTCTTCTATGGAACTTAATCATTGGGCCTAGCTGGTCTTTGATAAAATAAGAATAACAATCTCTGGGCCTAGCTGGTAAACTTACAACACTTACATTTCCAGTCGAGTGAGTTCTCTTCTTGTATTTCAAAGTCATATATCCCATAGTTGTTACATTTATGGTTGCGAAAATTGGTTGTTAAATCTACGGAGTATTTTCTGGGTACTTTTAAGTTTAGGTTTCTAACTATGAATTGGATTTAGTTTGTGTACTTAAGAGCATGTATTGGAACCCAATGTTAAGTATTCTGAAATCCTTATTGATATGATCCTCATACTCTCAGTTCCCTAGGAGATGCCTCCACACCATAACTAGATGATGCAATAACTCTCTCTAATGTTGTGTTGAGAGTCTCTAGTTATAAACTCTTGAAAACTTTAGTGTAAAGGTACATTAACTTGGAAATACAAATGATTATGATTGGGTAACTCATGGTCTTTGAAAGTTTGTTGCTAGTTTGAATCTACCTAACTGACTCGTTGAGAACACTAGATGATTTCTTTCCATCTGTTTAACTTTTGGGAGACAAAGTCACTTGGTGTACCTGTGCTAGTAGGATGTAGCACATACCCTGTAGCATTAGTCGAGGTGTGCGGAAACACCACTCTTATTAAAAAAAGGTTGTTTTGAACATGAAATTTTGATTGGAGTGAGTTATTACACTTGGTCCTTGCATATCCATGATTTTGATGCACAAATTCATGAATATGACAAAAAGTTAAAGGTAGGTTGAATCAGAGGAAGTGTTATGTATGTAAATATCTATGTAGATGAGTCTCAGAATAATCTGTTCTTTCACTTTCATCTTTCTACAAGTATGCAGCAAAAAATGGTCCATACATTCACAAAGCAAGTAAGTCACAAACCAAATTCAAGACAGTTTCATTCACATAAATGAACTTAGTGGGAATGAAGGAACTGTCAAACTCCAAAATAACTAATGATTGATTTGCTTACATTTTACAACAACCTTAGAGATTTTTCTTATTTTTTTTGTTTCCTATAATATCCCATGTTACCAAGAACACTATCCATTTCAATAATTCATTCACTTTCAAAGTTCCCTCCAGCTGGAAATTGATTGCAAAATAAAAAAAAGTATGTTGTGTGGCCCCTAAATTATGAAAATCTCATTGGTTAAAGTGGACTTCATGGGATACTCATATCAATTAGATTTTCATTTCAACCACAAAATACTCCCCATTTTTTTAAATTTATATTGTACACTAATGATAACATCGAAGGAGTCTTGGCACAACTGGTAAATGTTGTTGTCATATGATTTGGAGGTCGTAAATTTGAATTGTGGAAACAACATCTTGTAAGACTGAGTACAATTGACCCTAATTAGTAGTATGATTCTTCTAGTAAAGTTGTTGTTATGTGACTAAGAGGTCATGAGTTTGAACTGTGCTTTAAAACATCTTATAAGACTTAGTACAATAGACCCTAGCCAGTAGTATAATTCTTCTGGTAAAATTGTTGTCATGTGAGACAAAGTACAATAGTATGTTCTTCTCCAGACCTCACGTATAGCGGGAGCTTAGTGTAGGGTAGTGGACTGTTTTTTTTCTTTTGACGTATGATAACATCATTTTAATATCCTTATCTTTTTTTCTTTTTTACTCGACCAATCAAGATGATAGATCAATATTATCCAATATTCCATACCGTACAATAAAACCACACAAAGCATTCAATAAGTGCACATTATTTCCATCTTTTACCTTATTATTGTTCTTTAGTAGTCCCCCCTTTTGTCATATTGCATCCATTGAGCCTGGAAAATTTGGTGAAAGAAAAAAAAAAAGGTCACCAACGTCATGCTTTTATCTTCGAATATTGACGATGAGATTGTATATAAAAATGGCGTTTTTTTTTCAAAAATAAATATTCATTATCAACTTCAAGAAATAAAATTGGAACGATACAAAAAGATAAATAAATTGCGGCTTGATAGAGATTGGAGAAATTCATAGCAAATGGGGAAATGTAGATACTAATAGTATTAGTATCATTTTTGTCTCAATCTTAGTTATATATCAATGATAAAGACGCCAATTTTGTATTAAGATACACATTTTGTTTTTAGTTAAAGATAAAGACATTTTATGCATGCAGGGTCCATGCAAATAATACATATATTTCGTTAATTATAAATCTATTCATTACTTTTTGACTTTTTGTTATGTTTCACTTGGGCCTAAGTCTATCGAAAATAATTCCTCCATCTTCATAAAAAAAAGAAAAAGTTGCATACGTATCCACTTGTGAAAATACACAGAATATATTGTTGTTGTTATCTACCCTTCCACTATCAAACTGTGTGACATGTTTTTGGTCTCCAAAATATTTTACGTGACTTGATTTTTTATTTGTTATAATGATCACGTTAGGATGCATCTCCATTATTTTACGGAATAATCAATTTAAACACTTAAAAGGGACACTTTCATTTAATAATGTACATGTTTCGACAGTTAAACATGATAAAGATAGTGATGTTAATTATGCAAGATTTCCTCTAATGATGTCTTTCAACATGTTTTAAAATTAAAATTATCTCTTTATTTTTGTCTTTAAATATATTTTGGAACTACTATAATATAGGATCATAATATTACTTTGCAATCCTATTTTCACTTAAAATCTCAACTTTGTTGTAACCAATTGAGCCGACCAAATTAAAACATGTAAATTATCAAATCCCAAATAAACCAAATTGGGAAGCTTTTTAAAATCAATCAAATAGGCTAGATGTGGTAGAATCCTAAGCTCGATGTTCAAATCTTAAATTCATTTCTATTATGATAAACTAATTGATAGCTAGTGGCAGGATAAATTAAATTCTGACAAGAAGATTCACCTAAGGCCAAACGCGATATGGTATCGTGAGATGGAATCAGCGTTTGGACATGCGATTTTACGTTGATTCCATCTCATGATTCCATATAATGAGAGGTGACACCATATTCTCCAAAAATCATGATATGGAATTATATGGTGATTCCATATCATGATTTGAGATATTTTTATACTTCTCTATTATCAAAGTATACCAAAATTTATGTACATACAAAAAAAAAATTGTTTTCTTATTTGACGTGTATATATAATTTTTCGATGAAGAAGATTCAATTTCACTCTATCTATATATTTGTTGGAGGAAAAGAAGATCAAGTAATTCATGATGATGTACCTATTTATACAGAAGATAACACGCATAGCTTGTACTAGTATATTTATTTAGAATCATAAACGGATCCCACTAAATATATATATCTTCAACATTTGAATCATACATTGCCAAGAAGAAAACTCTAATTATGGAAATTTCATCTATGAATTAAAATGTGTGACCGTTTCTTAAGAAAATATATATCTGAACATGTTATTTTTTTCGTTTCAATTTGTTTATTTAATTTTGAGTTGACACATATTTGAGAAAGTAAATAAGATTTTTGAATCTTGTAGTCTTAAATTTAAAATATGTAAATAATGTACCAAAATATCCTTCATCTTATGGTCTTAAACATGTCACGTGTAAAGTTGAAATTAAAGAGTTGTCAAATTAAAAAGAGAGAAAACCAATATTCTTTTTTAAATAAATTAAAAATAATATTAAATATGACAAATAAATTAAAACAAATGAATTATCTTTTCAAATTGACCTAATAAGAAAATAATATCAAACCAAGTGAAACAAAAAAGAGTGCATGGTTACGTTGTTATAGACTATATATATAATTTCATAATCATGTTATTATACTCAAAGTAAATTCAACATTGAGAAGATTAAATTATACTATAATATTTTTACATTGCTTGTCAATCTATACACTTTTTATTTTAAATTCGAATTTATATAACTAGTCATTTTTCTATTAAAAACAGACACCTTTTTATCAATATGTCTACTTCATATAGATGATATTTCTAAAATTTTAATGTCTATGCTTTAAAGATACTTCATAAATGTTTTTCCGATGATAATTAAGTCTCATGTCAATAAAAAGAATATTGTCAAATAAGTAAAATCCAAAAAAGTGATCATTTGATATAATTTGTTGGGTCCGTGCTGACACATGGAGCTGTGCATCTAGTACATTTATGTATATATCGTGTTGAATGTTGATGATAGAAGGATCTTGGTGGGAATCGTATAAAATCTGCTTTTGTATAGGTATATATATAGTACCTATTTTAATAGAGTAGCATATAATAATTAAATATGCTTCATGCATGCAGCAACTTTTGCCTTTTGGAATAGTGAGAATCCACGATGCACCTAGTTAATAAGAAGTAGGAACATAGCTAACAAGGATTCGGGGGTTCATTTGAAGTTTCATAAAAAAAAATGCATCATTTTTATATATATAACTAAAGTTATTTTATATGTATATATATTAGTGTTGAACTTCCTTAAACATTTTCATATGTTGATATTATATTTTGTATTTTGAATCTTTTTAATAAAAAATTATGACTACGCCAATGTCTAGCTTAAAAGTTATATATAGGTTAAAACTCATGTCCAAATCTTTCATCAACAATATAATGTATGGTATTCCTTTTAATTATGCCTTTTATTTGTCCCTTAATCCAACAAATGAAGTTGGTTATAGAGTTTAATTTTCCTTAACCTCAATCTTTTTTTCATAATCATTTATTATCCAAAATAGTCATTCTTCTAAGGAAAGAAAAATCCAGAAAGACTTTGGGTGCGCTTGGCATGTGATTTTCTCATGTTTGTATTTATCTAAATATTTTTATTTTAGAAAAATAAATTTCTTAAAAATGAAATGACTTCTATTATAAAAATAGAAAAAATAAGTTTCATAAATTATTTTTCATATTAATTGTCTCCTCCCCACCCTCCAACACGTCCGATTCCTTGATAATTCTATCTCCAAGCCTCCACCTTCCACCCCTATTGAGTTTTGTCAGATTTGTAAATACTTTTTGAGATAATATTACTTATTTATCAAAC